GGTCAAATCAGTGGGAGTGATGAATCACGAAAAGTTAGCATAGAAGAGGTCCGGGATAATGTTTTCAAACCGGATATCCCTTCTGTTGTTCTTGTACCGAAATTCACATCAACGTCTCGTGATATTCCAGTACAACAAGAGCATATCGAAAACCCACATAATGAGAGCATTATTAATGAACCAGTCACGGTACCAGAGGAGATTAATGAACCACCGATCATCTTGAGACGATCTGAAAGGGAAAGGAGATCTGCAATCTCAGATGATTATGTGGTTTATTCTCTAGAACATGAATGTGACTTAAGCATTGAAAATGATCCGTCTACATTTCAACAAGCCATGAATAGTTGTAATTCTGGAAAATGGTTTGATGCCATGAAAGAAGAATTAAAATCCATGAACGACAATAATGTCTGGGACTTAATAGAATTACCGGAAGGTGCAAAGAAAGTCGGTTGTAAATGGGTTTTTAAGACCAAGCTTGACTCACGTGGTAATATCGAAAGGTATAAAGCCCGACTTGTTGCCAAAGGTTACACCCAAAAGGAAGGCACAGACTATAAAGAGACTTTCTCTCCGGTTTCTAAGAAAGACTCTTTGAGAATTATATTGGCTTTAGTTACTCATTATGATTTAGAGCTTCATCAAATGGATGTTAAAACCGCCTTTTTGAATGGTGATCTAGAGGAAGAAGTATATATGGATCAACCTGAAGGACTTATACCCACGGGAAAAGAAAATTTAATATGTAAGCTAAGAAAATCAATTTATGGACTAAAACAAGCTTCCCGACAATGGTGTCTTAAATTTAACAATACCATTACATTTTATGGTTTCGTAGAAAATATCGTTGATCGATGTATCTACATGAAGGTTAGTGGGAGTAAGTATGCGATTTTAGTCTTATACGTTGATGATATTTTACTTGTTGCAAATGACATGGGAATTTTACATGATGTAAAAGTGTTTCTTTCTAAGAATTTTGATATGAAAGATATGGGTGAGGCATCCTATGTGATAGGAATAGAAATATTCTGAAATAGATCACAAGGATTGTTAGGATTGTCTCAGAAAGATTACATCAACAAAATCTTAGAAAGATTTAGAATGGATGAATGCTCTGCAGGAAAGGTTCCAATCCAGAAAGGGGACAAGTTTAGTAATTTACAATGTCCGAAAAATGAACTGGAACGAAGGGAAATGGAAAATATTCCTTATACATCAGTGGTTGAGAGTTTAATGTATGCTCAAACGTGTACTCGACCAGATATCAGCTTTGCTGTTGGAATGTTAGGTCGGTACCAGAGTAATCCCGGAATAAATCACTGAAAAGCTGCAAAGAAAGTACTAAGGTACCTGCAAGGTACCAAAGAATATATGCTCACATACAGAAGATCAAATTATCTGGAAGTCATTGGTTATTCAAATCAGATAATGTTGGATGTGTTGATACCAGAAAATCGACTTTTGGATATTTGTTTCTACTTGCCGGAGGAGCAGTATCATGGAGGAGTGGAAAACAGTCTGTCATCGCTGCTTCCACCATGGAAGCTGAGTTTGTAGCATGTTTTGAAGCTACCGTTCACAGTTTATGGATGCGAAACTTTATCTCAGGGCTTAGAATTGTCGACACTATAGCTAGGCCGCTGAGAATTTACTGTGACAATTCTGCAGCTATCTTCTTCTCGAAAAATGATAAGTACTCAAAAAGTGCTAAGCATATGGAGATAAAATACTTATCTGTCAAAGAGGAAGTTCAGAAACAAAGAGTATCATTTGAGCATATCACTACTGATTTTATGATAGCGGACCCATTAACTAAGGGATTGCCGCCTAAGACTTTTAAGGCTCATGTTGATCGTATGGACATTATAGATAAGTCATTACTGTAATTTAAATAATTGCTCATTATATATATGATATTTTAAATTCAATAAAAGTCTTGTTTCTGTTATTGAAATTCATATTATCATTAAATTATTTGTGTACACATGAAGTTGATGGAGATAATATGCATTATTGTTTTACAGTTATTCATGGCCATAAAAGATGTTTTGGATGACAAACGATTGTGATACTTGGAAGGAATCACATTCAAATAAAATGATATGTGACCGCCAAGATTCAATTGTTTGTTGTTCAAATAAAAGTTATCGGTGATAGATGAATACAATATAAAATTACGCGTTTTAAAGATTGTATATTATCAAGTCATCACATGGGCCAAGTGGGAGAATGTTGGAAATATTAATATTTTAATGGCTCATGTAATTTTGGGCTTTGACATTGACTTCATTGATGGATATGGGTTTATGAAAGTGTTGAATTTTATGGGTGTTTATGGTTATCCCTCTCTCCCTATCCTATAAATAGTGGACATATGCTTCACATTTTTCATCCATCAGAAAAATTATAAAAGTAAGGGTGAAAGGAGAGAAAAACTGATTTACCGACTTGTTCTTCAAAGTCATTCCGCTGCAATATGGATTCAGGTATATTTCACATACGATATATACTATCTTATTAAGTTTGTGTGAATTATGTAATACCGTATCCAGTTTTGGTGAGTTTTCATAAAGTTATCGAAAACCATCAATATAAAGTTTACACATTTCTCCATTGTCCATTAGCCACATCCTTAACATAATATAGAGGTGAGCGTTTCTTTAGAACCAAATTTTATCGAACCGCAAAATATATTATCATTTTCTAATTAAAATCGTTTAAAATTTTAGAACGGTAATTTTTCAAAAAACTAAAAATTTTCGGAATCGAACTAAATTAAAATTTTAAAAAATCCAAAAATTTCCTTTTTGAGGTATATGAGACACGATTAGGGTTGATTAACTAAATAAACTCTGAACCGAATCTTGACTCTTTCAAAAATTTTAAAATTCAAACAAAATCGTCGACCCTTATAAATTGCACGTTCAAAAGTTGAAGAAATCCAAAATAAACGAACCCCAAATGTGTTGAAGCTGGAAAAGGCTCGAGAATGATTTATTATATATATATATATATATAATCATATCATATTTCAATATTTCACATAAATATGTACTCATTAGGTTCGATCTATAGGATTAGTTTTAGTTTTCCGATAGATTTAGGATTACCATTTCGTTTGTGTGTGTATATATATATATATATTAATTCATTCGATATTCCGCAATATTTGTCACGATTGATTCTCAGATATTATGAATATCTTAGAAGTAACTTAATTAGTATCCTATAATGTTGTAAATATAACGCTGTATTTTCTAGACAAAACCTAGATGACACCAATGTTTTCAAATTAAAAAAAAAAAAGAGAGACTAATTTAATAACGTTTCTCTGAAATGATGTTGTTTTTACTAATTTCAATTTGGAAAAAAACAATTGTTACATAAAATGTGTCAGGATACATAATGTTTTAGTTTTGTTTGGCGAGAACATGAAGACTTTGATTAACTAGTTCAACTGTGGTTAAAACAAATCATGTAGGCAAAATCCAAAAAAAAAACACTGGACTTTCGAATTTTGACCAAAAAACACTAAATTTTTTATTTTATCAAATAAACATTAAACTTTTTAAGTTTAACAAAATAAACAATTAACTCTTCTACGATTGTCAAAATAAAAAAAATGAATGACGTGACACAATGAGATGGAAACACGTCAGATTATTTTATTTAGTTTTTTTTACAATCGAAAAAAGTTTATTTATTTTTTTGGATCACTAAAAAAGTTCATTATTTTTTTGATAATTGTAGAAAAGTTCATGTATTTTTTGGATCAGTTAAAAAATTCAGTGTTTTTTAGATTCGTTTAAAAAGTTTAATGTTTATTTGACAAAAAATAAAGTTCGGTGTTTTTTTGTCAAAATTGAAAATTTTCAGTATTTTTTTTGGGATTTTCTCTTTTTAAAATATTACACTTTAATGTTTAATTATTTGTTAAATCTATTAATAACATTGCAAAATATAATAGCTTAGAAATATTCAAACGAATATCCATAAGAGAGAGAGAAGTCGAAAAAGATCTAAAGGACTAGTGGGAGCCTCCAATGGATGAAAGGTTTTAAATTTTTGTGCATATAAATCCAACTTCCTCTGTTGTGTGTAAAAACCATGAAGATTGCCTTCTACATGCTAATAGATGCAGCGTCGTCTTATATTTCCGTTCAATGCAACCTCTCTCTCTGCAGACTCTTCCGTAAGCTGGTGAAGTTGCTGCATAAACACACGACTTTCCTCTTGAGATTCCACCAGAAATGATTTGGCCTTATATTGGCTATTAATCGATTCTTGAATTTGAGAGAGAGAGAGTGAGTGACTGGTTTTTTCTATACTGAAATGGTCATTGAATGTACACGTGATTTGCTGTTTATCTCTAATTAAATCGATTACAAGTTCACGGAATTTTTTTTTTTTTTTTTTTTTTGGTAATGAACGTTCTTATCATCTTTCTTTCTCTTACCACATTTATTTTCCTAGATCTACATAATTTTAGCGAATTTTATAGTTATACAAGTTCACTATATTTCCGTTAATGATGCTTAAAATTTGCATTTCTGTTACATATTTATATATATATATATATATATGAAATTCACATTTTAAAAAATGTATTTTTTGGGCGGACATCACTATGTTATTTAACAATTTTATTGTCGAATTAAATTGAAATAATAGATGTGTGACGTGTCTTATTTCATGTGTCATGATAACGTCCGTATAAAATTTAAGAGTTTGAGTATTAATAGTATTAATATTTTTGCGTTGATGCAGAGAGCGAAAAGATATTCGATTTGTTTGTATGTATATATAAATTAATATAACTATTTAAGAATTTAATCACATTCTTTAACCAAAAAAAAAAGAATTTAATCACATTCTAATACCATCCTACTCACATATATATATATTTTTATTAAAAAAATCTAGTGTTATTTCTTTGACTTTTCTCATATGCTATTCCCTCACTCGAGACTATAAATAGAGGCGTCCGGAGAACATTTTCTTCATCTCTCACTTCTTCTTGCTACTAGCTTGTTCACAAGAAAAAAGCAATGGCTTCCAAAGCTTTGATTCTGGTGGGTCTCTTTGTTGTTCTTCTCGTGGCCTCGGAGGTCGCAGCCAGAGATCTCGCTGAAACCTCGACCGAGAAGAACAGCGGTAATTAAGATCCTACGTTGTCTTTTTAATATAGATTCGACCGTGTCTAGTTTCTTTTAAGACACGTGACATTAATGCCATATAATTTTTGCCATCTCATGAGCAGAAGCCACCGAGGAGGCACAGCACCCTGACGGACTCGGACCATTCAAAGGTCTCATAGGCAGAATCCCTGTCAAACCCCCCAGACCTGGCAACCGTGGCGGACCAGGAGGTGGCTGCCCCAACGGTGCCTGCCGCAAAGGATTCTTTCGCTGCAAAAAGTGTTGCTGATCTTACGCCGGCGAGGCTGTCCAAACTCAGCCGGAGAACGAGCCTGGTCACTAGACCTATATATATATCTATATATATATATATATAGTTAGTGTGTGTGTGTGTGTATGTGTATGTGTATGTACGTACGTACACTAGGGCCATGCATAATTGTGGATTTACGTATACGCTCTCGTGTCTATGTGTAGGAGAAACCTCATGGGGCTTTGATGATGAAGTACGTGTGTATATGCATAGACTAAATAAAAACTTCGTGGAAGTTTCTGCTTTTCATTCTATATATATACCACGTTCTCATCGTGACGCGTAACGTTGTGTAACCCATTTCCCATTTTATTTACATAATGTTTACTTGAAAAAGGTCATGTATCAATCTTTAATATGTTTTGAAAATTGTTAAAAGTATAATAACAGATGAATCAAGTAACTATGGAAAACGGAAATTGTAACATATTTAATAATGTGACGCTTAAATGCATTTATTGGATGAAATAATAAATTGTTTTTTTTAAAGGTTTTTTCTAGATGAAATAATTAATTTATTCCGTTTATGGAAAACAAAAATCTAGTATAGATCGTAACCCTGGACGAATGAATGGAAAAAATAAATTTGTACTTTGAAATATCCAAAAAATTATTATTATAATAGAAATTAAAAGTTCTGAATTTAATACTGTAGCAAATTTATTCTTAGAATTTTTAAACATTTCTAATCAGGGGTTAAAGAAAACAGACATCTAAACGCAACTATTATCGTTGTTTATAACAGTAATCCATAATAATAATAATAATTGATATTTTTGTTATTATTATGTTGGAAAAATAAATAAAAAACACTAAACTTTTCAATTTTGAAAAAAAAAACCGAATTTTATTTTTTGTCAAATAAACATTAAACTTTTTAAACGAATCTAAAAAAACACTGAACTTTTTAAATGATCCAAAAAATACATGAACTTTTCTACAATTATAAAAAAAACACTGAATTTTTTTAGTGATCCAAAAAAATACATGAACTTTTTTCGATTGTAAAAAAACTAAATAAAATAATGACGTGTTTTCATCTCATTGTGCCACATCATTCATTTTGTTTATTTTAATAATCATAGAAGAGTTAAGCGTTTATTTTGTCAAACTTAAAAAGTTTAATGTTTATTTGATTAAAAAAAAAGTTCAGTGTTTTTTTGGTCAAAATTCGAAAGTTCAGTGTTTTTTTTCCTATTATGTTTGATGTAAATATGATATTGAAAGAATCTGAAATTTGAGAGAACAGAGAGATTTCAAGAGAATAGTGGAGATAGAGATCTCCTTTTTTCTTATTATTGCAGAAGTCATATTCAACCTTATTTAAAGGCATATTCGTAATACAACATATGAGAGAGAATGGAAAGGGTATCTTGTTTACATGGAAAGCATATATCGAAAGAGAATATGCAGATATGATTTTGGCAATTTGTTCTCCTTTAATTCTTTCAATCATCTAACGGCATATTCAGCCCAATATCAAACCATGGGCTGAACCATTCATCCATTGTTCCATGATCCAGTCTGTGAGTGTGTATGTGATCGTTGGTTGCAACTTGGGCTTGTTCAACATGAGCCATATCACTTTGAGAGTGATTGTCTGGTTCTACATTCTCCTCAAGATTGGTTTGGGGAGTTCGACGATACCAATCTTGGAGAGAGAGTTGTTGAATACTTTGATATTGGAGGCCTTCGTGAAAATGTCGGCTAGTTGATCGTTGCTCTTCGTGTAAGAAGTTGCAATGATTCCCTTTGATATCTCCTCACGAATGAAATGACAATCAACTTCAATATGTTTAGTTCTTTCGTAAAATACCAGATTTTGAGCGATATGCATGGCGGCATGGCTGTCACAATGGAGTGTCACCGGTTGCTCTGTAGAAATTCCGAGATCTTGAAGGAGAGCTTTAACCCACATGATTTCGCACGTTGTGTTAGCCATAGCTCTATATTCCGCTTCCACGCTTGATCTTTCCACCACTTGTTGCTTCTTGCTTTTCCAAGTTACTAGGTTGCCTCCAAAAAACGTACAGTATCCCGTTGTTGATTTCCGATCTGTTATATCTCCTGCCCAATCCGCATCATAGTAGGCGACTAGTTCAGCGTGATTATTACGGTTCATCCATATTCCTTTTTTCGGTGTTCCTTTCAAATATTTGAGTATCCGTTCATCCATTCTCCAGTGATCTGTGGTCGATGCATGCATCCACTAACTTACCTATTTCACGGAAAAACATAAATCAGGCCGAGTTATGGTGAGATAAATGAGCTTACCGACAACGCGACGATACTGTTCAACATCCGCATATAATTCCCCCTCGCGTTGTTCCTTGTAGTTTCTTCCAAAGGAGTTTTTGCCGGTTTCGCCGCCATCTTTCCTGTATCACGAAGAAGGTCAAGTATATATTTTCGTTGAGATAGAAATATCCTATTAGGAGAACGAAGTACTTCAATTCCAAGAAAATATTTTAGTTCTCCCAAATCTTTTATGTCAAAAGTTCGTCGTAAGAAGTTCTTTGTGTCGTCAATCCCAACGTTATCATTCCTGC